TCGATTAATTGATTAGTCGATCAATAGAAAATGAATCTGCAATTATTAATAACAATTGTTTAATCATTACAATTGTCAGGCAAAAAGTATACAGCTTCTGAAATGGAGCATTTGCAGCCTCTCAAAATATCTTTGCTTTGGATTGTTGGTGGGAGAAAACACAATGTCACCTTGGGCTCTCAGACTGTGTGATTGCCATTTTTCACTGTTTCACAGACTAAACGATTCATCAATTCATCAAAAAGTCATTACAGAGTAATCAATAATTTAAATAATTATTAGTAGCAGCCCATTAAAAGATAGACAGCACCTAAATTCTTACTTGTTCACCTATACAGACACGGCCCACAATTCGTTTACAATTTTACCCGAAACTGGAAACAGATCTCTCTTGTCCGGTCTTCAAGTCGTCATTCATCTCTGACAGCATTCACAGCCATCACTCATAACAGTATCGCGTGGTTTCTGCGGTGTGGTCAAGACTGTAGCTCTTTAACCACCGCCATACCTTAAATTTACAACACAGGACGACAGAAAGGAAGCAGGTATTGACTTCTCTGTGTTCCCTTGATTTCGCTCTCTCCTCTTTAGACCAACAGTGCCACCTTCTCACCCCTTCGCCCACGAGCATGCCAGTGCCCACCAGCTGGTCTCCAACTCCCCCGTCTCTCCGCAAGCTAACAGCAGTGGCATTCCTCCCTCAGGCCCGCTGCAGCGTGTCAAAGCTGTCCACCGAGCGCCCTCAGGCGACCACCCGTCCCACGTGCTCTCCCACCACCCAGCAGCTCGGACGAGCCGATCCGCAGAGAGAACAAGACCCCGCCTCCCTACAGCGTGTACGAGAGGAACAACCCCCGCAGGCCTGTGCCGCTGCCCCACAGTCTCTCCATCCCCCCACAGACGGACCCCCCGGCCCTGCCACCCAAGCCTCACCAGCTCCGCACAGGCAGCATGAAGCTGGACGGAACCTCCGACCCTCGAGTCCCCAGACCAAGGCCCCTGCCCAGGAAGGTGTCCCAGCTATAGGTGCTGGTCCAGGTCTGGAGCTTGAAGAAACACACTGGCGTATTTTGCACTTTTCTACTGGGCACTCACTTGTTTTTTGTGATCTTCAGTTTGGCATTCCTGACCTACACAATAAAAGACACAGGCCTATAGATTAACAGGCAGTCAAAAAAAAACTGAAGAAACTGACAAATAATGAAAGTTTCTTTTTGTATTTGCTAGAGGGCATTGCATTGACTTTGACTTGGTCATTCCGCACTTTTAGCTCTAGTACGTACAATAGGTCACCACGGTCAGCCGCAACATATGTTTACCAGAACAGTCTAGAAAAACACAGTTTTGATAGATGTAATAATCTGAAATATATGTATATTGGTATATATGAGAATTGTTTTTGCCTTAAGTATCAGAGTCTTTTATCCGTGGGTCTTGCACGTTTTTCTTTTTCTTTTTTAAACAACTCTGTACATTTGTATACTGTATGGCTAAAAAGGTGCTAGAGGCCTTGAGTATGCATTTCAGTGAAGTGTAGTAGACAAGGTTGTGTTCCCATAGTCATATCCACACAAGCAATGGCACAAAAAAGTTGAACTTAACAAAACTATATTATGACTAAATAATACAATTTTAACAAATTTTTATGCAGCGATAAACAGTTTAGGTAAAGGTAACTTTGGAACGGTAACGAAGCAGTTTTGAGGCTTATTTAACTCCGTGTGGTTATCTGTAAATCAGAAAACTAGAGAGGTCTTCAGTGGGGAGTTGCCACCTTAACAAACCACTCTACTGCCCTTCTCTCTCTAGAGTTTTAAAATCTGCCTCTTACCTTTCACACCAAAATGTTTCCCCCATTAATAATGAAATCACGAGCCTGGACCAAACACACGAGCAAACGTTGGTGCAATTGCATGCTTAGAAGCTGGACGTTGCCATTTCTGTGAACATTTCTGTGAACACACCCTATCCCTCCTGCATGATGTACATGACAACAGATCTTTAGGGGAGGGGGGAGGGGAGGGGTTACCAAGTATTGTGCCAAAGGAAAATGTACAATGTGCTGTAAAGAAACTTTTTTTTTTTTTAAACTGGGACCTGGAATCAAGAAGCTTGGAAATGCTCAGCTGAAAAGACATTTTTAAGAAATAATTTTTAAACTGATTTTACCCCCAAAAAAAATCCTAATTAAACTGATTGAACAGATATAACTCAAGACAAGCACAAACAAGACTTTATCATCTGTATAATGACCAGTACTGTTATGGACTCTATTTAACAAAGCAGTAATTGGAACAGAGTTTCACTGTCAGCAGTCACCCTAAAACACACAAGGACTGACACTCTATTGAAGAAATATTTACAAACTAATCATTGTCAAATATTTGTACAGTTGAGATTTACTTTGTGTTTGATTAAAAAGATGGACGTGAGTTGACTGCGCTATAAACAGTTGCTCAGTTCAACCACAATGCATTGCTGCAGTGAAGTAAGTGTTCTGTGGCAGGCAGATTTCACATCGTTTTGTAAGATAGAGAAAATTTTGGCATAAAATCTGAAATCTTAAATCCGTGCAACATTTTTTTGGGGTGGGGGGAATTAGCTTTAGTATTGTTTGTATGTTTCATTTTTGTATGGTTAATTTACTTTTTGATTTGTTGTGAATTTTTGAGATTAAATATTCACATTAATCAGTACTTGAGAAACCTGTAAATTATATGATGAGATTAATGTAAGTATGCCAAATATAAAATTTGTGTATTGCAATTAATGTAAATACTGTGTTTTTAACAAAATGTAGCTATAACAATTTACAGCTTTGAATGTAATGTTGAAGCAGCAAATTATTATTATAAATGTTCAAACTTTTATGGTTTTGTGAGTGTAGAAAAACTAAGGTCATGCATAATGACACCTAACACATTTACAAGTTCAATAAACTGCCCTATGTAATACAAATGGATCTACTGACAGATTTCTACGTTATGAGACTTTGGAGATTTGTGACTTGGTCTTTTATGTGGTATTGAGGTTTCACAGAGGAAAAACACCCAATGAGATCCAAGTTGATTGGCCGTCAGCAATGCCTCTATCAAACCTCACCCGCTTCTTAGTGTTTCTTGGGGGGAAGCCAGTTAGGGATCACGTGGTTTTTGCTGCATTGGTAGAATTTGCTAGGTGGACACAGCTTCTGTTGGGGGTTGGGATCTAACTAAGGCAATGTAAAAAATAATGAGGTTATGAGCCGCTATGTAGTGTACATTTTCCCCAAGTTAGCAGGGTGTGTATGCAGCCACGGGGAGCACGGAGCACAAAGGGAACTGGAAAATTCTGGTGACTCTGTTAGAGGAGACCCGTGGTTGTAAATGCATCGCTCAGGTAATTGCGTTCAGTTCCATGAAGATGTTTGTTTATGGGCGTAGTGTTTTCCCCGATCAAGACGGGAATCCCAAATGAAAAATGGCTGCCAAAAACGACGGGAGTTACATCCAATTTTACGTAAAGCTCAGGAAGTGATTCCTCTGTTTTTCATACTAAGAATTGAATTTGCAGTGTATCTTTATATTATTTAAATAAACCTTATTACAACAACAACATTATATCTTTGCAATATGAAAGAAGTGATAAAGAGCTAAATTGTATAGTACTGACAGATTTATTTTTTGTTTAGAGAATAAGATTCCGTGTATTGACATTTTCACAAAAGCTGAAAGTTACCGTTACTTAAAATGTATTAATTATTTAATGAATTAAAAACATTAAGTCCTCCTTGTTATAATCTGTGTACCCAAAAATCAAACCAGTAATGTCACAATATCCCCACTGAAGGGTTTATTGATAGCCAGACTAGCCCGCGGCGGAGGGGCGTGGATTCAGCGCCTCCAGCGGACACGCCCCCAACGTCTCAGAGCAACAATGCTAATTTTTTTTCCTTCTTTTTTTGGTGTGAGAAACTCAGAAAATCATATTTATTATGACTTTCCACGGACTTTAAAGGTAAGACATCATGCACCTTGTCTCACAACCCACTCGGGAGGGAAGCAGGAAGTGATTTAGGGCAGAAGTGATTAGTTCGTAAACTGCATGTGGACGTTTTTCATGCGGAATCACATACAAATTGTGTTTTTCCCTTCCTACCTTTTTTATTGGTTTCTGAATGTTTAAAGTTCTTGTCTGCGGTAAAGCACTATAAGCTAACCTTACGTAAACATTTACTTTGAGCTATCCACCTCCAACGCAACAGAAAGGTCTGTGTAACTTGAGCAGTGTGATTAAAATGGAATATATAATTCAACCTTTGGCGGTCTGTCATTCAGCATCAGCTGCACTTAATTAGAAAGCTAAACTAAGATGGCGACGGTAAACACACATAGTCTTAAAGAAAATAATGGGTCCATAGCTCAAGTTTAAAGGTACAGATAAAAGTGGAACATAATGTTTTTAATCATTATATATTAGCCTATATTGAAGTATAATCTTACTCCTTTTTATATATAGGAATATTCAGGGTTGTGTAAATGTAATCTGATTACTAATACAATTACTAATAACCTGTAAAAATGTAGTCAGTAACCTAATCCAAGTAGCACCATATTGAAGTAACTTTCTGTTACTTTTAGATTTCCTCAACACCAAATATACAAATAAAAACCAGATTGAAGAAATATCAATAATTAGTATTGAAGCAAGTTTATTCTATAAGATAACAGAACAATGCAACCTTTGAAAGGAAAATGAAAACAGTGGGGCAGTGAAATACAACTGGAAAAAAAAACAGTACAAGGTTCAAAAGAAAATGTAATTGTATCCTTCAGTCAACAGTGCATCCAAATGTATCTCACATGAATCTCTTTTACCAAAAACAAAATCCAAGTTCCAATTTAAAACATGGAGGAAGAAAAAATTGTTCTTTAAAAAAAAAA